CTTCCTTCCTTCCTTTCTTTTTTTCCTGAGACAGGGTTTCTATGTGAAACTCTGGGTATCCTGGAACACATACTCTAGACCAGGCTGGTCTCACAGATCCGCCTGCCTCTGACTCCCAAGAATGCTAAAATTAAAAGTATACACCACCACCACCCAGCAGGACCTCTCTGATTTCTAATGCTGCTCACTTGAGTCAACAGCACTGGAAGATGGTGGACACTATGGTAAGAAGCAAGATAGCTCTCCAAAGCCAGTGTCTCTCTCTTCCCAGATGTGGTAGGCAAGTCTCTGGCTTCTCTCAGTTTGCTTTCTGATGTGTAACAGTCTCTGTCTGTTCACTTACATAGTTTCATTTAGTAGATGACCTTGCAATCATTCTTTGCAAATACCAGAATTATGATGAATGGGGAGGCTCACTGGCTGTATTACATCACCAGGAGATTTCCACATTCATTCAACACTGAACGTTAGTGCTGGGCACTGTGCTTATGAGTGACTGGTTAGAAACAATGACTGCTCCAAGAAGCTGAGCATCTTTCTCAGAGATTTTTTTTCAAAACCCAGATCAAGAAAGCAGGGAAATACCTTTAACACTATTTAATTTAATTTAATTATTTTCTATTATAGACGGCATCTCATCTCAGAAGCCAAGGGAAGTGAGTGTAATCTACCAAACTCACTTAGTCTCAGAACAGCTAAGCTAAGGACAGTGAACTTTCTGACTTTGTCCAGGCTTCTCTGCTGTCCCACATTGTCTCCTGCTCAAAACAGTGGAGGCATCCTAGCCTGAGAGAAACTGTGACTTATCATGTGCTATGAGATTGGGTTGGACCCTGAAAATGTAACATGTAATTGTGCAGAGTTTGGCTGTGAGGAGAGCGAGCGGTGTGAAGGAATGGTGTAAGAGCTGGGCAGAGGGTAAGAGTGATCGTGTGAGTGTGTGTAGGTGTGCGTGCTGAGTGAGGCATGTAGCTGTATGGGCAGAGAGTAAGATGAGAGAGTGAATGAATGAGAGAATGAGTGAATAAATAATGTAATAATATGTGAAGGAATGCAACAGAGTAGAGAGAAGAAATGTGTAGATGTAAGGGTGCAAAAGAGGTATGTGGCTGTGTGGAGAATGTATGGAGGATGTAACAGTGTGAAATGTAACTTGGCTGTATGGAGAATGTAACAATGTGGGATATAACATGTGGAGACAGAGATTTTCAGACAAAGAGATCTTTCTAGATGAAGTAAAAGAGGTAAGTTATGATCAGAAAGTGTGTTTCCTTATTTTACCCCTCAGATAGATATAAACTTATTTCTAAAACCTCTCAGACAGAAAAACTCTAGCCCTCAGATAGATAAGAATTTTTCCTAAGCCCTCACCACCTTTGTCTATTTTTTTGCATACCCTGGTGATAGCTGGAGGCTGCCCCCCCCCAAGCTACTGATACAAATTAAAAATACCTTTTTAAAAGAGAGAGGGGGAACCGAGATACATTGAATTGATGTGTAAATGTTGTTCCCAGCAGCCGTGGGTTATTATAAAATTATATATAAATACCAGGTATAGGAGTCTCCCTGAAAGTCATTGGTTTGGGAGGTCCTAGAGATCCCCAAATAAGGCAGTTATTGCATTGGTCTTAGTTTCCCACCAGAGCTAAGTGATTGGACCCTTCTTTTGAAAACCCACTCACTTTGGTTTCAGGACAGAGAGAAATCAAGTTTGAACTGAACTGGAAGTCTCATCCCTGCTTTTATCCTACCATACCATGCTATGCAGGCTACTGGGGAGCAAACTCAGCGATGATCTCACCCAGATGTAGACCCTGCATGCTACAATACTGATCTGCCCTGCAAAATGTGCTAACTGGTGCAATAGAGGTATGACTATTATGGGGCTAATCAACTACTTTCTGATTGAATTTAGACCCCACCCCCCATCAGGAAGGGTTCATGCTGTAACTCGGTCCAAGGTCTATGGCTGAGGAGGTCACAAACTCAAGACAGTATCTACTACTTTGTCTTGCTAAACAGACACATTGTCCAACTACCTTTTAAATATCCATATTTATGCTCACATACTAGTGCTGAGGTCAACCTTGGCCAAAAAATGTTTCATCTTGTTGTGGGTGGCAGTTAATGCAGAGGTTCACTAGTGATCAAAGAGCTGGGAAAGTAACTGGCGCCTACCCAGGACATTTATATCACTCTCTCTGAGGCTTAGGCAGCGTCTTGAAAGAGGGGTCAGAGTGAGTGTAAGAGTGGGAGGATGGGGAGGGATGCTCTAAAATGGGGGCTCTGGGTCACTGCATCCATGAAATCACAGCAGCTGTGGTTACTGTAATTAGTTCAAGATTGGGTCCATCAGCATTCCATCACGGATACAGGAGGGCCTTTCTTCTTGAGGAGCCATTGACAGTTAGTGGATACTGGAGGAGGGGAGTCGTATTCTTCAGTGGTGTAGCCACTTGTCAATTGCTCATGCTCTGGTAAATAACCTCCAAACCACGCTCATGCAAACAATTCTAATTAAATTCAGTGTGTCCAAAAGAAAAGCCATAAAAGTCGGAAGGGGACTTATTGAAAGAAGAAAGCATTCAGTGGGTGGAAGGGAGGGATAAGAGAAGGTAATGGGATATTATCAAAATAATACATGAATGAATATACATGAATGGAATTGTCAGAGAACAAATTTTAAAAGTAAAAAATGGATATGGCTCAGTCTCAAGTCTATCCTGTGTGCCATAATTTGATAAATCTATGAAAAAAATGGGTATGAACTACAAAACGTAGAGGCTATCCTGACCTGCCCCCAGCCACCAAGACAAGACTTGTTAAAGGGAGTCAGGGGCTGAGCCACTCAGAACTAAGGAACCTATACTATTATATTAATTGAGGCCAGTGCTGTCGGATGCTTGGTCTGTATGAAGGCTACAGAGATCAGATAGTTGATACATTAGCTTTGCATCAGGAAAACAGGGATTAATAAGCCAATGTGTGTAGAAATGTTGGTGCCAGCCCCTTCTAGTAGTTGCTGTTCCTGAGACCTGCATTCTATGTGACGAATATAAACACGTTTTTTACTTTTTCCGGTAAGACAGCATTCCGGTACGAATACGTCAAGGCTCACCCTTTCGCAACTTCTCATACTGTTCTCTTGTCTCAAGAAATTCTTCTTCAAACTAGATTAAGAAAAGAGAGACATTGTTATAACTTTAAGATAGGAAGCAAGGAGAGAGAGAGATTCTGACATCCTTTGGAAATGCCTTATAGCCTTCAGAATAAAACCTAAAAGGGAACCATGAAGCTGTCAGCTCCCACCTAAAAGCATGGCAGGGTGTGTGTTTAGAGATCAGCTGTCAGGGGTGTCCAGCCTTTTGACACTGTGACATGATGTTGTCATTTACTAACATGTTGACTGCATTCACAGCTATCCTGGAATGCATGTGGCTGGGGGCTACTGGCTGGATGAGCCTGAAGGGACCGGAAGAAGACCTTTGGGGAGTTTACCTACATCAAGAATCCCCAAGCCCCTGTTTTCCCATTTTCTTTGCCTAGACCAGCTCTTCCCTTCCTCCAAATGCTTGTCTTTGCCCCAAACTTCTCCAGTGATTTTTCCCTCCCCATTCTTCTTCCTCTTTGAGACCCAAAGATCCTACTCAGGTGAGGCTGTAGTCATTTACTGATGGGTTCCTAAAGCTCTGGGAGGGTGGTTTTGTCCTTCACATCTTGAGATGGTGTGGAATGGATGCACAGACTAAGAGGATGGTGGAAAACAAAGACCACACTGAGCCCTTGTTCCAGAAGAGACAGCAAGCAGGGTGACAGAGACAATTCCAGGACATCGCTATAAAGTCGGTGGGAGGGGTTTGGAGTTAAGGGAAGAGCCAGTCATCAGATCTCACATCTGGGCTGGGGCTCCAGATGGCAGCCATGAACGTTCCATTAGTGGGGTGCTGAGGCAGGGGTTAAAAGGCCTCAGAAAAACCAACCAGTCCCAGTGGAGGGAATGAGCTAGAGGTACAGTTCTTCCACCAAGACCTTTTCATCTCTAGGAGCTTCAGACTCTCCCAGGCCTTCACCTTACCCTCTTCCCCTGCACAGCATGACTGTAATCCTCCCCACCCCCACCCCGCTTTCTCTTATCTAAGAAAACAGAAAGAAAGGGAAGAAGGAGATGGGGACTTAAGTACCACCTCCACCCGGAACCAACCTCCACTCCTGCCGCAGCCAGCAGCCAGCGGATCGACTCCATCCTGCCTCTGCCACAAAAGTAGTAGAGCTTGGGTTTGGCTTCCATGACTCCTGGTTCAGAGCTCCCTAAAGGGCAGCAGTAAAAAAATAGGTTTGAAAAGCAAACTAGTACACATTCCATGCTTCGCCTCCGCGTCTAGCTACGACAGGGTAAGCAAAGTTCTCGTGCAGGGATGCACACACGTGAGGTAAAGCTATGGAGAAAAGCACAAAGGCAGGCAAAGGGTTGCTCTTATGAACATGTGGCCATGACTAGGGAGCAGCATTTGAGCGTTCTAGGCTGTCAACAGTGTCCCACTTCTTGAGCAGAAATAGCATTTTTTTTTGATAGAAGAAACCATTTTTATTGAAAATATACTTTTTTCATACAATATATTTTTATTACAGTTTCCCCTCCCCCATCACCTCCCAGATCCTCCCGGTTCACACACCCACCCAAATCCACACCCATTCTTTCATTCAGAAATAGCAGTCTTTAAAATTAGCCCTTTATTTTGTGCATAAATGGCATGCTGTATAAATGCTGTCACTCACAACTTGAGACGTAAGAACAAACTATACCCATCAAGGGTATATTATTTGAGACTGTCTCTGATATTTGGAGAAAGGAACCAGGAATTGATATAATGGTTTCATGAATACCTCTGGGGAAAAAAAATCTTTCCTAACATCAACAAAGAGGCAGGCCTGCTTGAACTGGAATATTTAATGGGGACTTGGGAGTCTTCCATTGCTGCCACAAGACTTTTTTTTTTTTTTTCAGGTAAGAACATGTCTACAAAATAGCATGAAATATGTTAATCATAATGACAAGTTAGAAAATACCAAGTTGGGCCTGGAGAGATGGCTCAGTGCTTAGGAAGCATCTGATTGCTCTTCCAGAGGACCTGGGTTCAAGTCCCAGCACCCACAGGGCAGCTCACAACTATCTATAATTCCACTTCCAGGGGATCTGACACCCTCACACCAATGCACACAAAATAAAATTAAATAAATCATGTACAAAAAAAAAAAAAGAAAGAAAGAAAAAAAAAAGCACTCAGGAGGCAGAGCCAGGCAGATCTTTGTGAGTTCAAGGCCAGCCTGGTCTACAAATCGAGATCCAGGACAGGCTCCAAAACTACACAGAGAAACCCTGTCTCGAAAAACAAAAACAAAAACAAACAAACAAAAAGAAAAAAAGAAAAGAAAATACCAAGTTAAGCGCTAGCTAACTTTATTACCCACATTCTCTAATAGACAGGTCACCTGGGCAAAAAAATTAAACAGAGAAACATCTGAATTAAATGACATCATACATCAAATGTACCTAACAGATAGCTACAGAACATTCCCCCCAAACACTAAAAAATGTATACTCTACTCAGCAGTCCACTGAGTCTTCTCTAAAATAGGCCATATACTGTGACACAAAAGAAATCTTAACAAAGTCAGAGACAGTGAAATAACTTCATATATTCTATCTGACCACAATGTAATAAAGCCTAAAATCAATAAATTATTAGTAGTTATACAAACTGATGGAGATTAAAAGCCACATTACTGAATGATGGCTGGGTTAAAGAAATAATTAAGGAAATTTATGAAAAGTCCTAAAATCAAAAGAAAATTAAAACAAACACAACAAAAATATCTGGAACACATTAAAACCAGCCCTAAGAGGGAAACTTATGCTCTGGAAATTAGGAAGAGGATTAGAAAGATGGCTCAGCAGTTATGAGCAATTGTTGCTCTTGCTGAGGATCCAGGTTCAGTTCCCAGGACCCACCTGGAAGCTCACAACTGCCTATAACTCCAGTTCCAACTCCAGTTCAGAGACAACCAGATGCCCTCTGCTGGCCTCCTTGAGCACTGTATGTATTTGGTGCACTTACATGCAGGCAAAACATTCACAGATGTAAAATATATGTATATATATACATACATACATACATACATACATACATAGTTTTTACTTAGAAAGAGCACAAATAAATGCTTTAATGATACAACTCAAGAATTTGGAAAATCAAGAACAAACCAAACCCAAATCTAGTAGCTGGGAAGAAATAAAACAAACCAGAGCAAAATGAATGAAATGGAAACAAAGAAAACACAAAGACTCGATGAATCAAAGAGCTGGTTCTTGAAGATGCTAGACAAGCTCAACACACTGTTGATCCAATTAACCAAGAGAGAACCCGGATGGACAGAATCAGCGATGAATACGGAAACATTACAACAGATACCAAAGAATGCTTTAGAAACCTATGCTGAATTATAAAAGTCTGAAGGAAACAGATGAATTTCTAGGTGCACCCAAACTACCAAATGTAAACAAAAAAGAGGTCAACAACCTAAACAGACCATAAATAAGATGATTGGAACAGAAATGAAATGCCTTCCAACTTAAGAATAGCTGGGCCCAGCTGGACTCACCGCAGAATGCTACCAGATTTTCAGAGACCTACAGCCAGTATTTCTTGTATTAGTCAAAAAAGAAAGAAAGAAAGGAAGGAAGGAAGGAAGGAAGGGAGGGAGAGAGAGAGAG